GCGCCGAGGCGGCGACGGCAGCGCAGGCGACAGCCGAGGCGCCGGAGGAGGGAGCGACGCCGGCAGCGGCATTCAAAGAAACGGCTGGCATTCAAAGGTCAATGACGAGCGGCTTGGAGGCAGGCAGGGGCTCTATGAAGTGCTACTTTTCCGATGAATTCTGATATGTCAGGTGGCCTCTCCTCTGCCGGTGCCTGACGATTTTGGGACGGGGCAATGCTGAAACGTAGCCCCCTCCCTTTTCCGGAAAAATTAAAAATGTGAAAGTTGTATAAAAAATGAGATGTTTTATTTCAACACACAACAAAAATTACGTTTAATCTAGAACAAGTTTTTGGAAATGTATTTTAAATAATAGTTTTTTGTAAACTAACTTAGTGATCAAATAATACAATTTTCACAGTGAGTATAAAACGCTAAAAAATTGTTGTGTTTACTTAGGGTTTAATAAAGTCACTTGATGTTAAATACATGAAATAATTAATATGATTTTCTGTAGAATTTATTTTTCAGCGTCAATTGATTCATTTTGTAGAGTAAATAACCCTATAAGTAATGAAATGACTATAATTAACTATTTAAGGGAGAAAAATTAATTCAAAATTTTATAAAAGATTAGACTAATAAATTACCGCGACTTATGAAATTACAAAAAAAACAAAAACAACAACGTATTTTAAATCTCTAATTTCTTTTTTAATTTGTTACTAATTTTTCCCCGCCAGTCCCATAATCGGACTCCTTGAATCGCGAAGCCTTGGGCGATCGCCCGGTCTGCCCATTCCAAGTGCTCGCATTGCGCCTCTCAATACAGTAGAAACTAGTCATCTGGAATCGGAAGCTGAAAGAAAATTGTCGTCGTTGAATGTTTTGACACATATATTCCAACTACAGAGATGGTTGGTTGAGGGAAAATGAAGTCCCAGAAGAATGAGAAACGTTTTCGAGGTTTAAAAGTTCGAGTTATGTTGTGAGTTCTTTACTAGGGCTTTGTTTCTTCGTGCAACGCAATCCATGTTTTTCAGAGATTAAATTTCCAGTTGAACGGTGATTTCTCCTTCGTCTCCAGAATATTCTCAGCTGTGCATTACATAGGTGAAAGTAATGAAACCTGATGCAAGCGTACAATAAAAAAGATAGGAATGACGCAGAAGATATTAATTAAAGTATCCAACACTTCATTAAAAGCAAAAGGAAGAAGTGAATCGAACTAGTCTACTTCGGCGTGGGAAGAAGAGCGTGGTTGGATGAGTTCAGCTTCAGAAATAATTTATTGATATCATTTTCGATTATTACAGTGTGTTGTACATATTGAGGAATTTTAGAAATATTTTGTTTTCAAAAGAACAGGCTAGGATAAGTTAAAATGATTAGATGATTAATTAGAAGGAATTCTTTGTTATCAATAAGGGTCATCTTGTTACAGTTTCAACCACATTGTCTGCATATTCAAATTTCATATGTATTTGAATATGTGTGTGAATATTGTACATACATGGACGCACTCATTGCCGCAGTACTTTGATTCTATTCTATGTTTACTGATCCTTGATGATACAATTTATCTCAGTTTACGCCATAAAGGCGTACGCTTGTTTTGGATGCTATGTACCTGATCAATGTAAGATAGCAATTCTATCAGCAGCGGTACCAGTAGAAAACAGTTCCTCTCTCTTCTATGCATAGTTTAAACGAAATATTTTTTACCGGGCACATGAATTTAATTGGAGGTAACTCGTTTACACGACGGCGGTAGATCGGGCCTGCTGTCTCGGAGAGGAATGTAATGACGCTGGGCGAGGACGGCGCGTCTTTCAACAGTGGGCGTCGCGGAGGTTCTCTGCGTTCCAGGGCGCGCAATAACTCAGCGAAGGCTATGGTGCCGCCCCCGCCCCCGCCCTCATAGGCGCCGCCGGCGACATCTACTGTGCTTTTGCCCGGCCCCTTTCGTCCGGTGCCGGACCTTAACTGGCGTGTGAACCCGGGCTCTCCGGCCTGAAACGAATGCCTCTTTGTAGTTCTTAAACCGCGATAAGTGATCGCGGCAACTAGTGTACGTGCAAGGGGGCTTGTATGTCGCGGTAAGTTTTCAGCGGCTACTGGGCGTTTTGACGCACCCGTATGGAGCGGTCCAAGGGACTCTTCGAGAGCGCTGCGTGGTGTTTTCACTGTGCTTTCTCGCCTCCGTTTGCTTTCGGAACAGGTGGACGTGTCGGTGAAAATTGATCCAGTTTACGCGGGTGCTGACACGTGACTCGAAGTATGTAGGCCGTGAATGCATATCCCTTTAAAAGCAATTTACCGTTTTTTGGTAGGGGAGTGTACTGCATTCGTATTTCATACAGTATAATGAATAAGTAATATTCATTAATAGTAAATTATATTGGAATGGGTAGGTGATACATTATGTCTTTAGTCTACTAAAGAAAACTAATGTTTGTTTGTAATGAACATTTCGCCTATAAACTGCAGTGACAACTCCTTGACTATAAGGAAGATTGTTCAAGGAAATTATATTTTAGAGAGAATAATAGGAGCAAACAACGATTTGAGTTTGATTGCATAAGGCTATTAGTATTGCCACAATCACATGTATTAGAGGACCCGTAGTGTAGCGCTCCATTCGCACATCTTACACTGCAGGGATCTGGATTCAAATGCCCCTTCGATCCACGTAGGATGTAGTGGTCATTGCGGGTTCGCATAAGGTTTTCTCTACTGTTATGTCATCTGTTAAAGAAATGACTTTTGTACGAGGTTAAAAGTAAGACTCATTAAACGGTGATTTGGGAATTAAGCAGTAGGATAGGATAGTAATATAAAATTATAAATTTCATTTCAACCGCAGCATAAATCTATATGGTGATCTACGGAATAAGACACCTGGTAGCACCTATAACCTTGTCGTTTCAGAAATTTAGAACCTACCTTTAATAATGAAAATAAGAATTTGTTACAATTGATATCTGACAGTAGGTTGAACCATTTAAGGAGGTATTATTTTTGGTGTATCATTTTCGCTGCGGTGTTGCGATGAAGTGACCATTGCAAGTGAGTGCCAGAGTCGAAAACTTACAAGCTCAGCTAGTAAATTTCTTAATATGTCGAAGGCCTTTCTGCCGATCGTTCTTAAACTTCATGCATGTATTAAAATAATTAATAAATTCCTCAGTAAATAATAATACTGAATGAGTATTGAATTTCTAGGTTGAAGAAACGGAAGAGCCCTAGGAAATCTCCCACGAATTTTCATAATCCGTTACATCTCTTTCGAGAAGCAGAAGATCTGGATTTCACTTGGTTTTGGATTTCCGCCTTCAGACAAGGAAAGCATGCGCTTCGGCCGCTCTTGTGCAGTTCGTTCCGTGCCCGGGAGTGTTACGAGGAACGACGTTCGGGCGACGCGGGCGGGCGGCGCCGCTGCTTTCGTTGCGACCTCCCCTTGGGCGCTGTGCTGGGCGCAGTGGGCCAAAATAGGCTGAAGCGCGCGCACGACGTCTCACGTGGAATTCCGTTAGAAGGATGCGAGTCGCAAATACTAATCCTGGGATCTAAATTACCAAATGTTTATAAGAATTTCCAAATATCACCTCTATCATAATTTTTTTCATAAGACATATGGTTTTCAATGGTGGATCGATGCGTTTAAACATTTTATAAATACAATTTATTATACAATCATACAATTTATTTTTTCTTTTCTAATTTATTGCATACATAATTAGTGTGGATGGGCCCTATTGAAGTGTTTTTTTAGCATCTAATGTTCTAAAAATCAGGAATCTATTACATTTTCTTTTAGCAGAAGACCAATACATCCCTGAAATTGCTTTTGACTAACATTAAATATGCTATTTTTCTCCGGATTATTTCTGAACAACCTAAAACTATTCTTTGTCAGATTTTAAAGTTTTTAGTATTTACAATGCGTACGCTCGTTAATATTAATGTTGGTGACTAATTCATGCGTTGAATTGTCAATATTATGTAGCCATTGGAGGTGATGGCTGGAGAAGGTAACGCGCAGATGCTTTGAAACGAGGAACACGAGAATGGATTTTTAAATGCTATTATGACCACGGTCAAAGGTGGCCGCATCTGCATTGCTACTTAAACGAGCTATTTTTAAATAAAAACGCAGACAGACACTTCCGAGGCAGAAAGAACGTTGCAGCCTTTTTTAATGAAACTTCATTTTACGTTAAAAACTGTTTTTTTTTGTTAAAGCTATATGAGGTATGCCTTTTTCTTAGAAAGTCGTGATCAAAAATAATGTAAAACTTCAAGTTGGAAAACATTTAAGCAGCTTACATAAAATCTTTTATTAGTACAGCCAATTTTGCATTTTTCCTTTTCTTCCTGTCGGCCCCTTTCGTCCCACTGTGCGGCGGTGGCTGTAGAGGAGAGCGGGGCCCGTCGCGTTCCGCCCAGCGGCGGGCATTGGACGCCTCGCGCTTGGCGCCGTCCGCGCTCGCCCCCCGACTTTTGTTTTTCTTCGTCGAGCAATTGTTTGCTCGTCGCCCGGCGTGGCGCCTCGTACGCGGATGCGTCGCTGATTACGATCTCGTTACTATGAGTGAGCCCGGGCCGTTTGTTTTCTGTCGTACTGTTGCGAGGCTGCTAGGCCGAGAATGAAACGGATAAATGTGGCGGGTCGTGGGAGGAAAAATGTGGTTCTGATTGGTGTACCGTGATAAGGTAGAAATAGCTTATTTCTACTCCATTTGGGTGTAGATTCTCACTGGTGCTTACGTTATAATCTTCCTCTTGGATAAGGAGTGAAAAGGAGCTTAGGTTTTATGGATTCACGCTTTACTCCTCGTGTAAACGTACATTATTCTATATTATACAAAATAAAATACAATAATTTCATAAATAAAGCGTTGTGAATGCGTAATTTTGCTCTCAGATACTCATTTGTCCGTACCTTTCCTTTGTTTGGCAGACCAGTACCTAGATTGTAGGTCAAAATGTGATTAAGATATTGTAATAACGTAACGATGATGCCTTTCTATAATGCAGAGGCATTTGAGTTTCTAGGAATAAATTACATAACTGGCCATGACAACGTACGTGCGTCTTAAAAATATTTCTGTAGTGAGATACTTGGTTTCATTAAATTCGAAAACCAAACGATCTACATGCGACGGAGGAATGATAAAGGCTGTATAGACGTTTTTAAAATCAATTGCTGGATTTATCTTGACTACATTATAATTCTATCATTAAACTTTATCTTTTCTAGACATTTCTTAAACATGTTTTTCTCATATAACGACTGATGTAAGTAACTATTCAGCATCGTTTTGACTAAGGAAAATTGTTATAATATGATATGTTTACTATGGGAACTAGATTAGAGCATTCCTAACATTCTAATGCAAACAATCTTGTCCAGTTATGTAAAACAGCTGATATTTGTAAATGTTATTCTCTATGTTCTTCATATCTAATTCTCGTTTTTTCAAATGTAATTTCATAATTCAATTTCTTAATGAAATACATGTATTTCCTATTTTTTTCATATCCAGAATCTGTAATTTACTTCTGTAATAATGCTATATATTTTTATTTCCTTCATGATTTTCTCTCATTAATGAAACTCATGTTTTAATTACGATTAATTAATATCTTTGTTTTGTGTTGTAATTGTGACTTTGCCCTGTTATAGACAAAGAGGTAAAGAAAACTTTAGATAAAGAACTAAAGATAAATTTATGAAAACTCCACAGGTTTATTTTAATTTTCAAATGAATTCCTATGAGTTCTTCAATTAAAAAACTGCGGTGTTTGTGTGTGCAGGTGTGGCCGCTGCAGCAGCGCTACAACGGCGCGCTGGCGGCACAGCTGGGCGACGCCATGAACACCTTCTGGGCGGAGAGCTACGAGGCGAGCAAGCTGGCGGTGACGCGGCGCGCACAACTCGTGGTGGAGAGCCGCGCGCGCTTCCTGGTGAGTGATGCGCGCCCTTCTCAGGCAAAATACACTCTTTTCGAACAGGAGGCGATGGTTTTTTTTTTGAAGAACTTTGCAACCTAGGAGGTGACGAACACAAACTTCAACACGACGCCTGAAGGATAGGCAACCGACGTCGCATGTCAGTTTTGCGGGTGATTGTGTTTGCAGTACACAGTTTATAGAAACTACAACTGTTCGGAATAATTCTGAAACACGGATTGATTTTGCGAAAAAAACCGGGAGGGTGGACGGCTCTCGAAGAATCCAGACATTACCACTACCATCCATTCGGAGCGTGCCAGCGGCAGACTTCAGCACAGATGGTTCTCCCATTTGATTGTCTTGAAATAGGCATCGTTGCTTACATTATTCTCGGCCCAGAATGATCAGAGAGATGCTCTATAAATCCTGTTTCATTTCGCCGAATTATTTGAAGTAAATACTACATATCGTACGTTAGTTAAGAAATAGTGAGGTTTGTCAGTAATTGTACATTTTATACCAAATGTATAATTATGACATCAACAATTTTATAGGGCAATATCAATTATTTTATTTAACTTCATAAAAATGAGGTACTAACGGTAATGCTGCATAAAGTCAAACAAGTCAATAAACTTTCCTCGATTGGGCTCTCATCACGATTCCATACATTACATGTCCTCAATTTTAAAAAATTAAACATTGAACATTTTCTCTTGCTTGTATTATTTGAAGCCTTAACGTATTTTTGAGATCGTGTCAAAATTATATCCACGGTAGTTGTGAAAAGTAGTATATGTACTTCGCAACTATTAAAAATTTCTTTGGTGTAGTAAATACAATACAATTTAAAATTCTGTATTGTTAATTTAAAAATAATATATTTTGCGTGATCATTTATTGCATATAGTTATTGCCCAACGAGTCGTATTGGGCGACAAAACAAACCATTATATGTGGCTATCGAACGCAAGTGTAAACTCGACCGGCTGTAAGTGGCTTCCATCCGGCCGTCTTCCGCGCCGAGTGCGCCTTCCTGCCCCCAAGCCACTTCCTCGTCGCCCAGATTCGGCGGCGCTTCCAGGCCGCGGGCCGATCCAGCGCCGCTGTGCGCCGGCCTGTCTGCCTGCCTACCCGCCCGCGTGCCGGCTGGCGGTCGCTCGAATCCGGGACCACTGCGCCGAGCCGCGCGGCCGGCGAGGGTGGGCGTAGAAAGCCGCCCGGCGGGCCGGCTCCTCTCGGCCCAGAAGCCGCGTCCGCTCCGCGGGCGCTCTCCGTTTCGACTGGAACGTTCGGATTCTCCAACCCCACGAAGCGGGAATGCGAGTCGAGTCTGGAAAACCCGAATATTTACGACTTTTTTATTCTTTTTATCTTTCTAAACTTAACATGTGTGGTACATTTTTTTTCAAACTGCTCTCTCTTTATGAGTTTTCACATATGTATTATTTTAATATAAACAACATGGCTAGTTTAAAATAATTCTTTATTCTTAATTAATTTCTTAAATTTTTTACATACAGCGCACAACAAATTTAATTATTGGTTTGAATTGGTAGGCAATAAATTAAGTATTTGTAATTATCTCTAATTAAATACGGATGTGTTGAAAGAACCAGTTCGGCACACTAATTTCATAAATTCCTTGCAGAGACTCGATGGTTCCTTCCACTTTACAGTCTGGACAGGTTTTCTAAACGTTGTTAGTTTTTTTAGGAATTCATGAACAACCGCGATTTCAGTTATTCCAATGGCTCATGCACAGAGGATATGTGAATCTCGCAACCGCAAGAGTATTTTAATGTGTGTTTATATGCATGCACACATGCATATATGCATATATTACACATGCATATATGTAATATATGCATGTGTGTGTGCGCACGAGTATGTGTGAACTTCTTATCAACTCGGTGCCATTCAGAATAGCTCACTCTTTTCATCTATAGATCCATTTGTAGTCGAGAAAGCCCCAGAAATCTTGTTTAGTTCTTCACGGTCGTGAACCTGTTTCTGTCAGTATCTGTTGGCATTCTTTAGTTTCATTCTTGATAAAAATTATTACTTGCCTCCATTCTACACTTTATACTTAACGGCGACTGCTAAAACCCCGATTTTCTCCCCTTCCTGGCGACTGTCATTCTCACAACGTGATTGCTGTTTCATTTGTGATTTTTCGTGATGGCCATTTCATTCACAAAATTCGCGCTGGCGTGTGACCGCTAACATGTCAGTATCATAATCCTTACTTCAACTACTGCGTTTGCTGTCGAGAGGAACGTTTCGTTTTTGCATGACTACCAGCACTATCTCTCTAATGCGAGTATGCTATTCCGCCTCTGCCGCTGATACGCAATTGCCATTCGAAGCTCCCACGCGTTGAGTGCTCCCGCTCGTCGCCGTCCTCGCCGTCCTCAAGGAGGCGCTGCTTCGCTCTCGCGGCCGCGACCACTCTCTCTGCCCGTCCGCCCCTCCCCTTTCGCACCGGCGCTTCCGCTGGCCCTTACCCCTGGCCCTTCGGCGCGATCGAGCTCTGCACCCCCCTTTACAACCTCATGGAGCCTTTATGGCTCTGCGCAGAAACCGGCGCGGCACGCGAACCCACGATTCATTACTATTGGCCTGTATTTTCTCCTGATTAGTTTTCGGGAAGCTTTCACTGCTTGATGCATTCCTGGCAGAATGAGTTATTAGTGTATCGTATATAAGACAAATATTTTTCTCTCATTCAGGAATCACTCATTCATGAAGGCAAAAACAATGTACGTGTTTCAAACAATTCTGAAACTTTTTCTTTCGAACATTTTCTTTCTATGCTGAAAAATCAGCAATTGTACTCATAAAGCGAAAAGTATGGGAAATCACTTTTTAAGAATACATTTTTTAAGTAAGTATTGGAGTTGGATTATGTTAGTATTATCAATTGTAATAATAATAGTAATCTTCAGAATACAGTGCGTCATGACCCCCTGTTCAGATTTTTTATTTCATTGGCATATTACGTAGAATGTGAATAAATATGTGAATTCTTTCAGTGTTCAAGCATTTGGAAATTATTTGAGGGAGTAATACAACTTGCTTTCTTACAAAAGATGGAGTGGACTGGATTGCAACTGAAATGTACAGTATGAATATCAAATTAAGCAGTGAATGCTTCCAAGGAAGTGTATGTTTAATACAAGAAATTAATTTCGGTGCGAAATAGAACAGTTAATTCTAAAATATATGTGGAAGCAGATTTTTTTTTGCCATATGATACGTTGGAATATGCTCTTTCTTGCTATTAAATGGTGGAAAATCAATCGTCATGCGGAATTGCAAGGTAGAACTTCGTGTCGAATTTAAGTCAGATAAACAGGTAGAGGAAGATTTGGAAGTTCCTGTTTGGGTTGTGATTAAATCCGCCGGAAAACGAGTTTTGTTCCTGTTGTCGGCTGAATAATAGTAAAAATTACTAGGACGTTTTGAAGGGTCATATTAACCTGTTCACGATATTTTCTGAGTCATTGATGACAGTCGACGTTGAACAGTCTATAGGTGAAATAATAGGAATAAAAATGTGTGTTCTGTTACTGATTATTGTGAGTAAATACCCTTTACTTTGGTACAGTTGGTATCTTATCTTGTTCTGGTAGGTGGAGTGGTTTGGAGTAGCATAAACTGTATTATTAAGTATATAAAACAGTGTAATGCTGAACCAAAAATAATGTTATTTTTAAATTTCAAAAAAATTAAAACAAATAAAATTATACAGAATATCATGAACTAATATGATAATTCAGTTACCGATTGATAACTAGCTGTTTCTAAAAAAAAATATTTCAATAGTGGAAACAGAATTAGAGTGCAAGATAATTTACTGCCAGCATCTAATATCCTTTTTAATTGTATTTCTTAAGCTCCTAAGTATGAGTGCTAACGTGCTTTAGGGAAGTTAAACAGCGATGCAATTGTCATGCAGATATTTCAGGAAAGAAGTCGATTATCTCATTGTTTACTTCAAGAGAAAATCATAGGAACTAGCTGAACCCTTGCAATTACGTCGCAAAGAAGGAAGAGCAAGGAAAGTGACAACAGAAAAGGTCATGTGCTCTATACGATAATAGAAAGCCCCAAATATTGATGTAGTGCAGTAGTAATTATTCTCCAAGTCTAATGAAATGATGTTACGTAGAATTAAATCCGGCATTCTTTCTGAGAATGTACTTGAAATATTTTATGTTTACCCAAATCTTGACATGTTTCTTGTAATGGACCAGTTCAGGAAATCTCGCTGTGTTCATTTAGAAACGTAATGCATCGTAATTAAAAGCACTAGTGTTGTCTGTTAAGGCACTTGTCAAACGATTGCTGGACATTGCATTTATACGCACAGAGTCTTCGTACTTACACTACGCGCTATCTTCATGTAGCTATCTAGTGTCGTGGGGGGAGGGTCTGCCACCACGTGCGGGGAAGTGGAAGGACGGTAAGGGTAGAAAGTGCCCTCCGGGCCGTTCCCTAAAGGCCTAAGGCGGAAGAGAGGGAGCAATAAGAACAGGGATAACCACGGTTATGGCAAACATCAGTTTATTGGGGAGGTTTTACTTACAGGTATCTGACGTAGCTCAGCCTCTCCGAGGACTGTTCTCCAGAAGAGAGTGTGTGTCTGAAGTTGCTGGGTGGAGGAGTGTTGCCAGGGCCAGATTGGGCCGATCTGAACTCACGGAGGAGTGGACGGTCCGTGCACACGGGCGAGGAGCTCTCGAGTAGCATTCGCTCCCCGCTAAGCGGAGGTCAAGCTGTTATACGCATAGGCCTTTCGCCGAGACGTTCTTTTAGCGGCGGAGCTACGTCTGATTACGCGGGGGCCAGCAGTCTGCGGCCACCTGACACTAGTGTAACCTCACACTTACAAGCGCTTGCTTGCGCTAGACCAAAACCTTGATAAAATTCTTGATCCACACAAACAACGCGATGATATGAACAAATTTCGGCAAACAAGAGTTAATTCTATTAATGTTACGATTTTATTTAAATTCAGTGTTTATGCTATAACACATTTGGAGCTCATAACCGTCCATTTCAAGCAATAACCATGAAATTCAGATGATTAGAAGACTCAAATTCCTTTCTAAACATAACCCTTCCCATTAGATGACATTTTCTGTGACGCACTCGAAAGTAATCAAGTTAATTTTCGAATGAAATCGAAACACGGGTTTTAGACGATGAGGAAAACGAAGTTGGGTTACATTGAGTGTGGAGAACAATATACCACCTTGTGATGAAATATCATTCAAAACAACGGAACTTTCATTTCTTTAGTTGAAAGGGAAATGTTCTATTTTATGTCATTTATCATCATTAGAACTTTCTCAAATTACAGTTCACACAACAAGTACCTCCTCTAAAAAGCAGTGTTGTGTTTGTTTGTATTCAACCGTTCTTTAAAAATTGTTTTAAGTGTCACTAAATTGTTTTTTATTGTGTTGATTTCAATTTTGCAATTAAAAGTCGTGGTGGCAATGAATCTTGGGAAGATAGCATTTACTTTCACTTCTTTTCCCGAACGCTGTGGGAAAGCCTCGGAGGCCAGTGTCACGCGCGTCGCCTACGCGAAGGCCGAGAGCCGAGTCGTTGCCCCCGCCCCCCTTCTACCGCTCACGCCGGGAAGCAGCAGCTATTCAGCTTTTCGGGGTCCTTTCGAATCGCCTGTTCTATGATTCAGCCGCTGTCTGGAGGAGAATTCTAGCAGCCGGTTGCTGTGATCGGTGATTTCCGTGGTTTCTCTGATCAACACCAGGCAAATGCCGGAGCAGTACCCTAACAACTTGGCCAAGGACCGATATTTCCTTCCTCTTATTTGTCCTTTCGTCACCCCTTACTTACAAATTCACATACACACGTCTGCCACACGTCGGGAGTCCAGCTAGGAGCTTAGATTTTTACCCGGTTCCACGCTGGTAGGAGATATCTGGTTGAGGGAATTCCCTTAAGCCGATGTAGGTCGGTGCTTAATTTCGCCATCCAGCGGGAAAATATCACCGCCACCTCAAACGATAAAACATGCACTGCACTTTCGGAACTAATGTTCTTAGCAGTTGGCACGCCCGGAATAATCATCAATCGCAATTCCTACGACGGATTTGCGATTTGGATTTCATTTTTTATTTACATATTCGACTGAAATTAATTTTTTTAAAGTAATATAATGTCGGAAGAGCATAAACAAGAATGTTATTTAGAAGAGACATCGTATCTCAGCCTTAGAAAAATGTACTAGAAGACAATCGTTTCTTATGGCCACAACACTTTCGGATAATGAACGATGTTATTAAAGGACTTGTTAACGTCAGAAGAGCACGAGAGAAACAGAGTTGAGAAGGCATGGCGTTGGAATGTGCTAGCAGGTGAAATCAAAAAGTACAGGAAGGAGAATAATAAGATTTATAATAGATTCGAATTGTCTCGTCGGGCCTTTTTGGTTTCTCATTCTTCATCATCTCAATCACTATGACCACCATCAGTGTACAGGCCTATACCATCGTTGGCACCCATCGTTTATTTATCTTTTAAAAGTTATAAAACATAGCCTTCTTGACTTTTTATTTTATTATTCAATGTTAAAGATACGCCAACACCACCAGTATTCCATCTTCGTAGTTTTCAACCTGCTATTCATCTGTTGGTTGTAGAAATGAAGCTAAGAATGAACGAATCTTCCAAGAGTATTTGAATGAGGAAAACAATTGAAAATACCATCGTTCTCAGTGTTTTCATTCAACCCTCATCTATTAAAGTGTGTTCAAAACGTACGAAAAATGTGTTGTGATTCCTTTTAGTTCATACACGTATTTTTGTTAGATACTGGTTCGAACGCTGAAATTTGTTATTCCTTGTCATGTTTTTGAAGTTTATCGAGAGTGTTGGATATTTCTCATGGCCAGTTTTGGGAAGAAGAAAATAATTGCTGGGACCGAAGCGTTTTATAAATCACTGAAAATTATTTTTGGTTAGTTAATTAGATTTTGGTTAATGGTTTCAGAAAGTGAAGAAAACATTTTATATCAATTTCTAATTGTGAATCAATCGTAGAGAGAAATGTAATGTAATGAGGTAATGAATATGTATTGAATGTAAAGTAATGTAATGAATATGTCAATAAGGTTAACGAGTATTTGTGCATTATCACATAATTAGAGAGGTATATGACACTGCATGCATAGTAACAGGTGCATGTCTGAGTTAATTAACTTGGTCACTAAATATTGATGTGTTGGCGAAATATATTTCTTACGACACTTTAGCGAAATCATTCTTTCGCGCATTTCATTAAATTATCTCTTTTATTTGTTCTTGACTAGAATTAGCTCTGTTATTTTCTGTGTGAAGATATGCATGACTATTACCTTCGTAGTCGATACGTTCTTGGATAAATACCTAAAATAAGATTATAGTTGTGTTGTTATTCATATTTCTACCCTACTGTGTGAAGTTTGCTTATTTTCCTCTTCATTTCATGTGAATGCATAATGAATCTGAGATTGTAGAAACAGGTACTCATAGCTCTTTCGTTGCCATGGTCATGGATTTATAAGTCATCCTCTCATATTAATGTACAATTTCGCACAATGCAGGTGCTAGCGGCACATAACCAACTTACGTAACTAACGTGTTCCACAAGGCGCAGACGGGGCATAGAGGGAGAGCGAGAGCTCCAGGCGTAATTAGAAGGGACGACAGGAGAGATGAACAAACATACAAGCATAAAGTGGGCCTGTAAATCACGCGAAGAAAATTACCTAATTGCCTATTTATTTATTCCAGTCGTTCTACCTTGTTGAACAATTTTGGTTATTTATTGAGGTTTTTTTGGGTTCCTAATTTATTTTTGCTACTTATAGTGACTTCAATGTACTTTTATTGATGCGTCCGGGGAAATTGTAATGAAAGACATTGGATTTAAAAATTAAGAATATTGGGAACAACTTACTAGTTTATTTTGAGTTACCACTTTTCCTTGAAATGTGAGGATAGATTTATGTTTGCTTCGTCATGGTAATTATTGTGAATCTTGCGTAACCTACCGTGAAATAAACTATTTGCATTTGAGAGCGCAGGGAAATGGTGAACTACTCTGTTATTCCCT